TCTCTCCCTCTCTACTTGTCTCTGCCTCTGTCTGTTCCACTCATACAAATTTAGATGTAGATTCTCCACGTCTTTGAGCAGGTAGGGTAACATCGAGAAGTGCCGGGTTAGCAAAAATGTAATAGAACGTTGAAGAGTTCATCCTCTACATTACGCTGGGACAAACGAATCTTTGAGGCCATTGTCCGTTTTAGTTTTGAATGCTCTAAAACGCTTTGTTTAGGTGTTATTTAGCGATAAAGATTAAAAAACGCTTCCGAGTGTTGCAGGTTGAATTTGACATGGATATTTATTTTTGTTCAACAGCGCCCTCTAGTAGAGTTACAACAAAATGAGCAGCACATAAACCTTCTGGGTAAGAAAAGACATAGATGTGGAGTTGACCGCTCGTGTTCTCAACATCCATTTGTATACTCTAAAGTCTATTTGATGCATATTTTGTCTAATAAAATACGTGGATATTGCGAATGGTTGAGTCGCAATAAGCATTCATACGTTGGTTTGAAAAATTGCCTTCTAGGCAACAATTTTTATTGCAGAAGCATATAAACCCTCCAGAAAGCTTTTTTTTAATTTGCAACAAAAAAATTAATATGTACAGAATGACAAATTAAGTGAGAAATAGAAAAGCAGTTGAATTGTGTAAATTGGGTACTTTTTCTTATTTCTATGTTTCTTTCTGAACAAATGTATTAATTTCTTTTGTAAATAATACGCAATTTCTATTCTTCTGGAGTGTTTATATGCTTCTGCATTGCACATTTTTGCCTGGAAAGCAATCTTTTTCCTTAAGTGCTCATTGCGGCTCACCCATTCCCGTAGTTTATTAGCCCCAATGCGCTTGAAATGGTCTCAAGGGCTTAGTGGGAAGCGTTTGGGGGGGGGACTGACCTGCAGGCGGAGGCCGCCGCCCTCCTGCTGGCCGGGGGTGGCGCCGCCGCCGGCCGTCAGCAGCTCCTCGGCGCCGGGCGGCAGGCTGAACTGGCCCTGGCGCACGGCGAACTGCAGGCTGCGCGCCGCGGGCCCCCGCGCGCCCTTGGCCTTGCGGGCACCCTTGGCGCCCCCGCCGCCGCCCCCCGCCCGCCCTCCGCCGCCGCCTGCGCAGCAGCTGCAGCAGCGCCGCCGCTGCCCGCGCTGGGCGGCTGGGGCGGGCGGGGGCGGGCGCGGGGGCGGACGCGCCGCGCTCCAGCGCCGCCAGCGAGTCGAAGGCCTGGCTCAGCTCCTGCAGGCGCTGCTGCAGGGGCGCCGTGGGGTCGGGCGTGGGAGCGGCGCCGCCCCACAGCGGGAAGCCCCCGCCTGTGGGAGACACGCGCCTTCACTCAGTGGGAGGGCTCCTTCTCCATGACGCTCTCCCAACAGTCATGTTACTGTCTTCCGCTGAAGGAATGGTGCTACATAAACCACCACGGGGTGAATGATGAAAACGGAATGATTATCAATGGGACTATTCAAAATGAGTGGTGGTATTACAAGACAATCACTTCTCAAACCACTGGCGGATCCACGGGGGGTGGAGCATTGGACCATACCCCTCCACAACAGAAAGTCCGAGACAATTCATTCACCTTCCTTTATTTGAGAAAATTGATTTAAATATTTATTTAAACTCGAATTATGTAATTATTTAAACAATATTATGTAGTGTCAAAACTACAGTACATAAATAATGTACAATATAATTACAAGTATGATTATTATTTAACAATCTACGATCCCCCTCCCCCGATGATCGGCTTCATCCACGGAGTAAAAATCCCCGGCCCTTAGGCAGGACTCGCCTCCCCCCTCCCCGTAGTTGGGCCAAGTTCCAAGCCTATGGGTCATGAGAGCCAGCGTGCGCTTGGAAGAAACGTGAATCAAATTTGAAGCGTCTTCGAGTTGTAGGAATGTAGAATCTTCCAACAAGAGAGTAGGCTTCCTCTGCATCAAGGACTCGCATGCAACTGTCGCCGCGTTGCGGCATGGCCAAATGTTAGGGTGGGGTGGGGTGGGGGGCATAGCTTTCCCAAATTAAACGTTACCTATTTGATTTAGTCCTACTAATTGAAAATACTCTATTGACACATAAAATATCAATATATAATCCACAGACAGAATTTGTTCACTAAATACTTTGCACGAGAACGTCGTAGAATGGTAGGGGAATTTGCATGTAATGTAACCCAGCCTCCCCATACCATAGAATTGCGGTTACTGTATCGGATGCTACAATTTTTATGCGTCCTTATTAACCTTGTATTATTTTATTTTCACACAAAACTAGAAGATTCAATATGTAAAGCGCTTTTAACTATTAGAAGAAGTATCAGCAAAAATGAGTAGTTCCAGAAAGCCCCTGTCTGCCGTTAGGAATGCAATTCCTACACACGGACGATGCAGGCCGGTGCTGCTTCCGTCACAGACTCAACCAGGGCTGTTTCTCGACAGCGGCGTCTTTTCGGTGGAGTTTCGAAGCACTAGAAGAGAAATCTGCCAGCCGGACGCGGGTATTAATAAAGCCCCGCTGACACATTCGTCTCTGCTTCCGGCACTCGCAGGCGCCGATAAACAACATTGTGAATACAGCGCCCCCGCCCTTAATGCTGCTTCTAAAAGCCAAAATAATCTGAAATGTTGACTCAATGCTTTTTCGGTCACACTGTATCTACTGCTTCAGTCACGTTCAAATCGGAGTGTCCGAGTGATTGATTAATGTTCCCGAGAAGGTCAGCCGCTGTGGTCAACTGTCCTGTTAGTGTAGTGAGTGTTTTTTTGGTGGGAAGGGGCGGTGTTCCACTCCCACTGAATGATGACATCCGGCGTCGATTCGACCCATCGACTTCCGTGTTTTTCTTCCTCCGGGTTTCTCCCCCCAGCCGCAAGAAGCTCTACGCTTCCGACTGTGCTCCCGGCAGTGTGCGGTCGTGTAGTACATGTAAGTGCACGTGTGTGTGTGTGTATGAAGATAGGAACAGGAGGGAAAGATCGCGTGCTCTCGATGGCCCGTTAGTAAGGGTACTGCTCCGGCATTCGCCTGGAGTTTATAGAAAAATATGTAATAATTCCGATCAGAGCAGCCGGCCTCTAGAATTGTCCGCCAGACGACCGAATTCGACCCCGCTATTTTGTTGGTGTCGAAAATCGGTCACCGTCGGGACTCGAAACCTAGGCCTTCCGGACATAGTCGCTACACAGTCATTGGCAATGCTGGCTCAGAGCTAACCTCAGTGGGTAGGGGAATGTTGCGCGTCTACAGCGCGCGTCCCAACTCACCCGGAGGTCCGCCCTTCTTGGAGAAGACGCCCGGGGGTGGGCCGCCCTTCTTGGAGAAGACGCCCGGGGGCGGGCCGCCCTTCTTCATGGCGGCGTAGGGCCCCTTGGCGAAGGGGAAGGCGGGCTGCTGGGCCGCCGCCTCCTTCTGCGCGAGGACGATGGCGTTGGCCGTGGCCACGATGGCGTCCTTGAGGGCCGCCATCTGCGCCAGCGCCGCGTCCGGGGAGCCGGGCGGCAGGCCCCTACGCGCCAGCGCCGCCCCGCCGGGGGCCGTCAAGCGCTGCGCCAGCTCCTACGTCACACGAGGGCCGCTCTACCACTCACATCACGCCAAGGACACGGATTCATTTTGCTAAGCGGGACGTCAACGACATGGTGGGCCTCACTGTTTCACTATCAGTCAATAAATATATAATTAAAATAAATGTATTTTTTGTGGCGAGGCTCAGGCCATTTAGCCAGCTGTTCCGCCCGACCACTTTCAACACATTTGTAATAAGAAATTTCATGAAAATAAGGTAATTTAATAATAAATACGTACGCAATTTGGATGAGGGCGTTTTTTACATTGAATACAGGAATGTAAGTGAGGAAGGAAGGGGAAGATAGAAAAAGCAATACTCTCACAGCATTTGTGAGATTAAATTTATTTATTTATTTATTTCAAGTTAGGGATGTCGTAAATTTAATCAAGAATATATTAGATTGAACGCTGCGAGAATTTACTTAAATTTAGAGCATTTATATTTACTGACTCAGCAAGTTAGGCACACAAAGGATTGGAAGAATCTTCTATAAGTCAGTGAAAGGTTAATAAGAACTACTAAATATTTCTTACAAAGGTTTTGAAGGAGCTAAGATTGTGTGCGTATTTTTGAATTACCCCTAATGAAGACTAGAAAGGGAGGGAATATCGTCAGCAAATGAGCGAAAACACATCGAGTAAACACTTGTAATGGAAGTAAATTGAAAACATTGGAAGATAATGTATTTCGTAATGATAATACTTGTATTTTTTTATAATAGTAATAAATATAATATAAATAAAATGATAATGTATTATAAAAATATTTGGTTATTATATTAAATAAAAAAGGAATTAGAAACGTGGATATGATCAACTCAATTTTAGGAAAAGTTTTTAATTTACACCTCGTACTAGAAGTAGAAAATATGAAAATCAGTGGTAGAGTGATCGTGAATTGGTGTTAATGTGGAATGGACCACACGATTCAGGTGGCAAGGGAAACCATAACCGAATCCCACTGATTCCCATGCTGTGCGCGAGGCTCGGCTCTGCGCGCTCCTACGATGCTCTACGTAGCTACATCATCGAGGCCGGTGAACGAAAGGCTAAGACTATTAGAGAAATAGAAAAAATAACAAAATTGTGAATCTATGAGAATAAGTAAATTTTGATGCCATTTTTTAGAAGAAAAATTCTTTAAAAAATTAAAATTTGCTAATAGTGCATGCAAAATTATGCGAAAAATACTCAGATTTTCGAAAATCTGTTCATGACCTTATTTCAAAATCTCTCTTTGAAGAACAGATTTAATTAAGTAAAAATATTTATCTTCAATATATTGGTTGTTGGAAGACCCCCAAAATTTAGACTTTTGCAATTTTCGAAAAATCAGGCATTTTAACTAAAATGATACCTACACAATCTTAATCAACACCTCTTAAATGTCTTCACAGTATCCAACATCAAAACATATTTTAAAAAATTCGTGCATTTTTTTGGAAATTTTGAAGAGAGCTTTCATTGTAAGCTCAACCTAAAATTAAAATGTTGGTTTCAAATTCAAGGGGGTCACGACCACAGCTAGATTAATGGAGAACAATCAATTTTGGAGAAAATTAGCCGAACGGTTAGGCGGGGTGTTGACCGCAGACCGACTGGCGGGCGGACGGACATTTTGCCGTCAATCGATTTTTCGGTATCGAGAACCGACAAAACATTGATTAATTCCGTCATTTGATGGCTGTAACCCGTTGCAAAATGGTATTTATTACGATACAGATGTTATTATGAGACATGGTCTTGACCAATCACAGAGAAGCTTACAAACCAAGTATTGAAGAATTGACACTTTATTAATCATTGAGAATCGTAATAGAAAAGGTTTCGTTCTATTTTATTAATTAAAATTGAATTTAATATTATATTACGACTGTCATTTTTAATTTTTTTTATTAGAAGTTATTCATTACGTGAAATATTACGAGTATTTCAAATAAATTGGATCATAATTTCACTTTCATCCTATTTGATTAGCGCAGTGGTAGCTTTTGGCGGGAACATTTGACTGACGTTAAGATGCCTTTTTTGTTATACAGTGAGTGCCAACATTATAAAGAAAGGTCATGACTCTAACTTGTCTTCCTTATCGACTAGAGGATTGAATGCAAGAGGATGTGTAACTGGGCCCGTGTGTACCTGGAGGAAGTCGTCGAAGTCAGCCTCCTCGTCGTCCTCGGCCGGGTCCTCCTCCTGCGGCGGCGGCGGCGGCGCGGGCGTCGTGGTGGCCTTGAGGGCCAGCAAGGTGCTCAGGAACTTGGCCTTCTTGTCGGCGAAGGCGGTGGCGGCGGGGGAGGGGGCCTTGAGCGCGGCGAACGGGGACCAGAAGTCGGGGGGCACGATGGTGGGCTTGGGCGTGGGGGCGAAGCCGTAGGGCGCGAAGGGCCCGAAGGAGGGGGCCGGGGCCGGGTTCGCGTCCCCGCCACTGGCGTCCGCCGTCGACGCCGCCTTGCTGGCGAAAAGCTGGCTCAGAAACGCGGTCTTCTTATCCATGAAGAACTTGGGATCGACAGTGGGGCCGAAGGGCTTCCCGGCGCCGAAGGGCCCGAAGGCCCCCCCGAAAGGGCCTCCGAGGGGCCCGCCGAAGGGCCCGCCGAAGGGCCCGCCCAAGGCGCCGCGGCGCTCGACCGCGCTGCCCTCCTCGGCCGCTTCCGGCGTGCCTTCTACGGCCCTGACATTCCTTCGGGTGGCGGCTGGGGGCTGGGGGGCGGCCGTGGCGTTTGCCTGCTGGAAGAGCGCCCCCAGGAAGGAGGCGACCTTGGCCCTGTAGAGCGCGGCTGGCGAGGGCTTGCCGGCGGGCACCCAGAAGTCGGGGGGCACGATGGTGGGCTTGGCGAGGGCGAAGGGCGACCAGAAGCCGGGCGGGACGATGGTGGGCTTGGGCGCGGGCGGCGGCAGGCCCAGCCCGCCGAAGAGGGCGGATAGGAACTGCGCTCGCGCGGCGCTGGGGTCGACCGGCGCGGACGCCGCCGCCAGCGGGACGCGCCCCAGCGCCTGTGGGGCGTCGGCGCTGTCATCAGGCTGCGGGGCGTCGTCCAAGAGGTCGAGCCAGCTGGGCAGCGGCGCGGGCGCCGGCGTGGGCGGCGCCTCCGTCGCGTTCAACGCCTCGAACAGCCTCTGCAGGAAGGCTGCCTTCTTCGCTGCGAAGACGCTCGGCCCCACGGCCAGCCCCGGCGGCGCGCCTCCCGACGGAACCACGCCTGCGGGCCGGGGAAAAATAATAAGCTATGGAAATATCACACGGCAACTCATTACCGATAAAATTGTGAACGTTATTATAGCAACTGAAAATTAGCAATAAAAATAGTTTTATTTAAGAGTCTAGGTTACCTATTAGGTACTACTTGTGAATCCTTTAAAGGAGTAGTTCTAAAAGACAGGTAATTATTAGCACTCTTTCGTGGAAACTAGTATCTCTGTTCACTGATTTTTGTGATTGGAAAAAGTAGTTTTGGTATGGCACACGAATGATCCAAATATGTTTACTTGAATGTTTCCATGAACTCTTACTATAAAATAATCGACTCAAACTCGTTTCAAAACCATTTTTATGAGGTCTTTGGAAAACTTTTTTTAACATAAATCATACACATAAATCATATCCGAAGAAATATTTCATTGAATTGAATTGAATTGAATTGGCCTTATTTTACGTGGCGAGACTCGGGCCATCAGGCCCGCTCTTCCGTCTGACCACGCAAATTTCGCTACGCTCCTTTCACCAACTAGGAGAGAGAGGAGGTATTTCTTGGGCGAGAAACAGGCGATTTTGAATTTAGCTCAGAGGCATCATTTAGGCTTGAGGATCTTTTACATGCAAGTAAATCTACGAACATGGGACAGCCGGCTTTACTTCCCCTCCGAAGGAAGGCGTACGAAGGATTTTTTCGCCCTTAAAAATCCACGGCTTCGATCGGGTTTGAACCCGCCAACTTGGGTACAACAGTCCAGTACGCTAACCGTCACACCATCGCCGCCGCACATTCGTACGTCAGAGATTTATTTTGTTACAAAAATAACTATTTTGATTGATTTTCATTATCTCCCAAAAAGAAGATAACAATAAAACAACGTAAGTATAACGCATACTTTATTTCCATACAAATAAACAAGATAGTGCCTTTCACATACATAGTGCCATACACTGAGGTGACAAAAGTTGTGGGATAGCAATAGGCAAATATACAGATGGCGGTAGTAACGTATACAAAGGCATAAAAGGGCAGTGCACTGGCAGAGCTTTCGTTTGTACTCAAGTGGTTCTCGTGAAAAGGTTTCTGGCGTGATTGTGACAGCACAACGGAAATTAATAGACTTTGAACGCGGAATGGTAGTTGGAGCTAGACACATGGGGCATTCCATTTCGGAAATCGTTGGAAATGCAATATTCCGAGATCCACGGTGTCAAGAGTGTGAAGATGCATAACCTCTCACCACCGGCAACTCGGTGGCCGACAGCCCTCACTTCACGACCTAGAGCAACGGGGTTTGAGTATAATTGTCAGGGCTAGCAAACGAGCAATACTTCGTGAACCGCAGAAAGCAATATGGGACGTATGACAAACGTATCCGTTAGAAGAGAGCGGCTAAATTTGGCTTTACGAAATGGGCTGTGGCAGCAGAAGACGGACTCAGGTGCCTTTGTTTCCAGCCATGCACCACCTGCATCGCCTCTCATGGGGCCGTGGCACTGTGCAAGCTGATGGTAGTTTCATAAAGGTGTGAGCTTTTCTTTACATGGAATGGACTGGGTCCTCTGGTTCAACTCAACCGATCATTGACTGGAACTGGTTATGTTTCCCTACTTGGAGACCATTTAAAGCCATTCATGGGCTTCATATTCACAAACAAAGATACATTTTTATGGCTGACAATGCGCTATCTTATCGAACCACAATTCTTCGCGATTGGTTTGAAGAACATTCTGGATAATTTGAGCGAATGATTATGCCACCCAGATCACCCGGCATGGATCCTATCGAATATTTATGGCACATAATCGAGAGGTCAGTTCGTGAACAAAATCCTGTACCCGCAATACTTTCACAATTTTGGGCGGTTTTAGAGGCAGCATGGCTCAATATTTCTTCAGGGGACTTCCAACGATTCGTTGAGTCCCTGCCATGTCGAGTTGCATCACTTCGCCGGGCAAAAAAAGGTCCGACATAGTATTAGTACATAGTCTTAGACTTTTGTCACCTCAGTGTAATTTTGTACACATGTAAATTAATAGTCAGAGTTGAACATTTTAGAAATGTATTACATTTGTAATTTATTACGTATTTATTTGTAATTTATTCAGTGTAGTTTCATTTTGGTAGGGTGAAGAGACCACTAAAATAGTGGGAAGCCAATTAATAAAGAGGTACGTCTGGATATGACAAGAGTAGCCGTTTCGAAAAGCTAACTGGCTTGACAAACAGGACAATTTTTCCTTCACCGAAGTTGGTTCCAAAACTCTACTGCATTGTTTTTACTTTCCCATATACGTACGTGTATGTATGGAAAGTTATGTAATGTTGCGGAAAATAGATTTCGAGTTTTCAACAAAATATAAGTTTTGGGGTTCTCTGATACCGAAAAAGTGTGGGTTTTTTAACGTCCATCCGTCTGTCGGTCCATCCGTTCGTGAACACTACTAGCATCTAAACCATTCGCAGGAACTTGAAGAAACCCCTGTTCATCTGGCTCGAAACTAAACTTTGATATTTTGAAAAACATTCTTCAAAATTAGGGGGTACTTTATATTAAGCCCTCTGGATATTTTCAAAATTTTCTCAAAAACGGCCGCAAATATTTTGTTTAAATTTTTGTAAGAATATAGTAACATACACATAACTGTGGCATATGTCCTATTTTCATGGTTAACTCTGAATTTTTGAACATTTCAAAAGTATGATTTTTTTCGGTGCCTACCTACAACTACAAAATGGAAGAAAGATATTTTCCCCCTCAAATAAAATTTGTTCTCCTTGGAGAGTTCTTTCATTAAGGCCATGTATTTCAAAAAGAAATGAACTTTGGGCGCCAATATCTGGCAGCTGGCAAGAGGATGTGGCAAGACCGAGTAGCTAGTCGAGGCCAAAGGAATTAGGAATGTAATTCGGGGGAAATGTAATAAGGTCTGTGCCCATCTGCAGCAGCGCTAGCTCATCTGCGTACCGAAGATCGCCCGTCGAGAAGGCGTCGCCGGCTGCTGGGCAGCGTAGGGCGCGCCCGCCTGGGCGGCCATCAGGGCGGTGAGGAAGCTGTTCTTCTTGGCGGCGAAGAAGCCGGGCGCGAACCACGGGAAGACGGGCCCGGGGGCGGCGGCGGCGGGGGCGGGGGCGGCCGGGGGCGGGGCGGGCGGGGCGGCAGCCCGAAGAGGCTGCTGAGCAGCGCGCTCTGCGGTCCACGAACGCCTTGGGTCGACGAGGGGCGGGAAGAAGGCGGGCTTGGCGCGCAGCGCGGGCCGCAGCGGCCAGGTACGCGGCCAGCGGTGCGCGGCGGGGCGCTCACGGCGGCCGCCGCCCCGGCGCCTGCGCGGGCGCCGTCGCGTTCTCATTGGCCGCTGCCTCTGCGCACACAGGACGCGCACTTGATTCCTAACGCTAATAACGAACGCCTCACATCGCATTAAAACGACATCATAAAATTCAAATAGATTTAGACTATCAATCAATAAACCAACCAAAAATGCTCAAGCTAAAATAATAAAAGCCGGGAAGAATATATAAACAGATATTGATATACATTGCATAAATTAATGATATAGTAATTTCGAGTGCATTCATAATGCGATATGTTGGATAGCCTTTAGTGCTGAATATATATGTGTGAAATTCGTCCATTGTTGATTTGTGAATGCACCGCTGGAAACAGGACGAGGTATCGATAGCTGCTAACGCCACCACGGCCGATTGGTTGTACTTTTCAACACTTTTAATTTTTTTACTTTCCCGCATTCTGCTTATGCAGTGCGTTTTTAGGCTCAAATACGCATCGGCCATGTTGCTGAACTCACTGAATACCTTAATATACTGAATTCAATGGCAGACATTTAAACTTTTTCATAAAAAAATATTTTTCTCAGTCTTCGTTTATTTACTTGATAAAGTGATATTTGAGGTGTAAGAAAGCAGAAATTGTGACATAGAGTTGTATGTATGTATGTACGTGGCGAGACAGCCCGTGAACGGGCTCAGGCCTACCGGCGACGTGCCTGCCTCGTGGCCTTGGGTTAAGAGGGTACGTGTCGTTAGAACGTAGACATCCCTACGCCGTATTCCGGTCTTCTCAACTTGAGAAGTGAATTTTCTCATCGTCGCACAATAACATATTTTGGGACATAGCGAGGAAAACGCACACTGGTTGGCTCGACCGGGAATCGAACCAGGAGCCGCGTAGCGTAAAACGAGCACGCTGACCAAGAGCCAGCCACAAGCAGACACAATATTACATAACCACATAACAGTTTGCCGCAGCATTGTAACTCTCTGCATACTATGTAAATGAGGAAGTAAAACATACGAAGTAGAACGCTTGGACGGTCAAACAAAATATAACGTATTCTTTTATACTCTGCACTCTTCTTGTAATAATTCTTTCAGATTATTTTAGTGTTAAATACTATACATTGTAAGTATTGTATTTAATTTATCACATAAGTTATTATTGTTATTAATAATAATAGTAATAATAATAATAATAATAATAATAATAATAATAATAATAATAATAATAATAATAATATAAGCAAAAAAAACGAATCATGGATCGGAAAACAAAAAACTGCTAGCAATGCATCATGCCACCCACCCTCGAGCTGACGTACATAGACTTCGTGTTACGTAAGGATGGTGGAAGAGACCTCAGACAAATTGAAGCGTCCTAGCACAATGTACTAGTCAGGATGGGAAAGTATGCAGTCAGTCATCAAGATGACTCTCTAATGAGGCATGTCAAAAAATGTGACCGAAGAATGGGAAACAGAGGCATTGTTAATGTAGCAAGAAGCATTGCAAAGAAAACTATGCAAGACACGAAGAATAACACAACCACTGAACTTCTGATACTACTAAACATAAAATATAGACACAAAAAATGTTAAAGAAAGCGTGAAGATACAAACCACTCCATGGACAATATCTCAAGAGACAAGGTGCAGATCAATAAATGTCAATCATTTTACTGTTTTTTGACTACATAAATCTAAATCTAAATTCATGTGGCTTAAAAGGGGAAGAATGAAGTCAGAATCGAAAGCAGTTCTCATAGCCGCTCAGGATCAGGCGTTGAGAATGCATTGTAATAAAGCGGTTCCCAAAATTTCCCAAAGTGATAAATGCCGCATCTGCCAGGAACAATTAGAAACTGTTGATCATTCGTATCAGCTGAGACAGTTCTAGAAAAGACCGAATACTTGAAAAGACACGACAGAGTGTGTAGTTACCGCCACTGGTAGATCTGTACCGCCCTCGAAGTTCCAAACATATGCCCTAAATGGTACGAACACTCACCAATACCGGCGACATCTTTTGGATTCTGTATAATATTGTACGACCAACTAATTCAAACGGATTGCACGTTAACAGCAAACAAACCGGATATTGTTATCCGCGATTTGGACAAAAATCGTGTCTACTTGTATAAAGAAAATAAAAATTTCCTTTGTTTAACACAAAATTTCGCAAAAACGACTCGTTTTTTGAAAAATTGAAGAAGGCGTTTTAGATTTGTTTCTCATAAACACAATTCATTAGGCGAAAAATCTTTATCTTCTAAATTGTAGGACGCCGCCGAAAAGAAATTAGAATTTTTTCAATTTTCGGAAAAATCAAGGTTGTCAATGAACATAAGACCTGCACCATTCTCTTGAACGTCCTTCACACTATGTAATAACAAAGTTTAAATAAAATTGATGAAGCCATTTTTTTGAGAATTTGGTAAATGTCCCAGGGGTTTGATGCAAAGTACCCACCAAAATTAAAATATCGGTTTCCAATTGAAGGGACTGCGACGTCAGTCAGATCGATTGAAGCATATATGAATTCTGGAGAAAATCGGCTGAACCGGACAGTCGGCAGACGATTTGTCGTTGATCGATTGTTTGCTATCAGGGAAACGGATTCTGGCTACACCATGTGATAGAGGATTTTTTTTTCAAATTTATCAACTGGCTTTATACACTTTTCCGTTACCAGCGCCCTGTCATTAGATTATTTCTGTTGCAAATTCGCAGCGTTACATCACTTTCTTCTACCGCGGAAGCGGTAGCGAGGCAGTAAAAACGTCCAGTTAAATTCAACAAGTAGAAAGTGTTTGCTCCATTAGTTTAAAATCGTTTCTATTCCGCGAGCTAGAATATATTACATAGTGGCTGACCCTATGGTTTAAGCGCTCATGACGCTCGTCGAACTAGGAGCCGACGCATTTTTGCAGTCAAAACACGAGAGGTGCCTGATGGTGTGCAGAACTGTTGTACTGAATCGACGTGTTGTTAGTATTAAATCTTATTACTATATTGTTGCCTTTTCGTTTATCTGTATTTAAATTATATTAGTGGTTAGAATAATAATTTTCAAAATGCCTTCAGTTTGTTGAACATATAACTATAAAAATAGAAGTAATGAAACTACAAATATATCACTTTTCAAGTTTGCCGTCTTATTTTTGATGTTTTTTTGGTTCTTATTGCAATAGCATTTACTACCGGTCTAAATGCTAACTACAATAACGTTTCAACAGCTCCCATTCTTATGACCTATACTCGAAGCAACGTGTTTTTAAAGTTTCTTAATTCGTTCTCCTTACACATTCTGATTTCGTTTTTAAATGATTGGGTTTTGGTCGAGCAACACACGATAAGAGGATTTATATTACGCGCGGCCATCGCCCACCCGGCCAAACGCAATACTAGAATTCTTTGTTTTCCAGAGGGTGCTGCTTTGACTGCAAGAAACATGGCTTCAATTTACTGCGAAGATGGAGGCGCTTCAGCCCCTCTAAGAGATATATTCTGCCTGGTTGTTTCTATGCTAAAATGTGCCTTCTGAAGGCGGAGAGCCCTTACCTGAGGACGCAATGGAGGCCGCCCAACTGGCGGACGCCAGCAGCAGCGTCAGCCCCGCTGCCAAGACGCGCATCTTCATCACGGAATGCGTGGCCCCGAGGGGCACGGAGTTTATATATTCGCGCCGCCAAAGCGCCTTAGCGATCACGGGAGCCGCAGCTGCTGGGCGGATCAGCCGCAGCCGGATGCGGGGGGCTTAGGTGCAGGTGGCCGTGCCC